GCCTGGTGTAGAGGCTCCTGGGGTTGGGGAGGAGCGGCCTTGGGGGCCTTGGGCTCCATTGCGCCCCGCCTGGATTTCCGTCCTTCTGAGCGGGGCTTACTGTTGTGAGGAGTGGGGTTTTCTTTTCCCCCTCTGCGTACGATTTGGGCTTAGGTTCTGCTCCTCCCCGGGTTCGGTTCCGTGTCCCTGTGGTTTCTTCGGTTCCGTCTTCCGGAGGTTTTCGGCTAACCGCATCTCTTCGCCTGTGGTGCGGTTGGCCTTTGCGGCTTACCTCCTGCATGTCCCGGAGTTTGCCTCCATACTGGTTCCTTCTGATCTGGACAGGTTGGGCTCCTTGTAGCCGTTTGGGCTCCTTTGTAGCCGTTTGGGCTCCTTTGTAGCCGTTTGGGCTCCTTTGTAGCCGTTTGGGCTCCTTTGTAGCCGTTTGGGCTCCTTTGTAGCCGTTTGGGCTCCTTTGTAGCCGTTTGGGCTCCTTTGTAGCCGTTTGGGCTCCTTTGTAGCCGTTTGGGCTCCTTTGTCGCCGTTTGGGCTCCTTGTAGCAGTTTGGGCTACTGTCGTCAGTTGGGCTGCTGTCGCCAGTTGGGCTGCTTGTCACCGGTTGGGCTACTTCTCACCTTGTTGGGCTCCATGTAGCTGGTTGGGCTACTTCTCGCCTTGTTGGGCTACTTCTCGCCTTGTTGGGCTACTTCTCGCCTGGTTGGGCTACTTCTCGCCTGGTTGGGCTACTTCTCGCCTGGTTGGGCTACTTCTCGCCTGGTTGGGCTACTTCTCGCCTGGTTGGGCTACTTCTCGCCTTGTTGGGCTACGTCTCGCCTTGTTGGGCTACTTCTCGCCTGGTTGGGCTTCTGCTCGCCTTGTTGGGCTACGTCTCGCCTTGTTGCGCTACGTCTCGCCTTGTTGAGCTACTTCTCGCCTTGTTGGGCTACTTCTCGCCTTGTTGGGCTACGTCTCGCCTTGTTGGGCTACGTCTCGCCTTGTTGGGCTACGTCTCGCCTTGTTGGGCTACGTCTCGCCTTGTTGGGCTACGTCTCGCCTTGTTGGGCTACGTCTCGCCTTGTTGGGCTACGTCTCGCCTTGTTGGGCTACGTCTCGCCTTGTTGGGCTACGTCTCGCCTTGTTGGGCTACGTCTCGCCTTGTTGGGCTACTTCTCGCCTTGTTGGGCTACGTCTCGCCTTGTTGGGCTACGTCTCGCCTTGTTGGGCTACGTCTCGCCTTGTTGGGCTACGTCTCGCCTTGTTGGGCTACGTCTCGCCTTGTTGGGCTACGTCTCGCCTTGTTGGGCTACGTCTCGCCTTGTTGGGCTACGTCTCGCCTGGTTGGGCTACGTCTCGCCTGGTTGGGCTACGTCTCGCCTTGTTGGGGTACGTCTCGCCTGGTTGGGGTACGTCTCGCCTGGTTGGGCTACGTCTCGCCTGGTTGGGCTACGTCTCGCCTGGTTGGGCTACGTCTCGCCTGGTTGGGCTACGTCTCGCCTGGTTGGGCTACGTCTCGCCTGGTTGGGCTACGTCTCGCCTGGTTGGGCTACGTCTCGCCTGGTTGGGCTACGTCTCGCCTGGTTGGGCTACTTCTCGCCTGGTTGGGCTACTTCTCGCCTTGTTGGGCTACGTCTCGCCTTGTTGGGCTACTTCTCGCCTGGTTGGGCTTCTGCTCGCCTTGTTGGGCTTCTGCTCGCCTTGTTGGGCTACGTCTCGCCTTGTTGCGCTACGTCTCGCCTTGTTGGGCTACTTCTCGCCTTGTTGGGCTACGTCTCGCCTTGTTGGGCTACGTCTCGCCTTGTTGGGCTACGTCTCGCCTTGTTGGGCTACGTCTCGCCTTGTTGGGCTACGTCTCGCCTTGTTGGGCTACGTCTCGCCTTGTTGGGCTACGTCTCGCCTTGTTGGGCTACGTCTCGCCTTGTTGGGCTACGTCTCGCCTTGTTGGGCTACGTCTCGCCTTGTTGGGCTACGTCTCGCCTTGTTGGGCTACGTCTCGCCTTGTTGGGCTACTTCTCGCCTTGTTGGGCTACGTCTCGCCTTGTTGGGCTACGTCTCGCCTTGTTGGGCTACGTCTCGCCTTGTTGGGCTACGTCTCGCCTTGTTGGGCTACGTCTCGCCTTGTTGGGCTACGTCTCGCCTTGTTGGGCTACGTCTCGCCTTGTTGGGCTACGTCTCGCCTTGTTGGGCTACGTCTCGCCTGGTTGGGCTACGTCTCGCCTGGTTGGGCTACGTCTCGCCTTGTTGGGGTACGTCTCGCCTGGTTGGGGTACGTCTCGCCTGGTTGGGGTACTCTCGCCTGGTTGGGCTACGTCTCGCCTGGTTGGGCTACGTCTCGCCTGGTTGGGCTACGTCTCGCCTGGTTGGGCTACGTCTCGCCTGGTTGGGCTACGTCTCGCCTGGTTGGGCTACGTCTCGCCTGGTTGGGCTACGTCTCGCCTGGTTGGGCTACGTCTCGCCTGGTTGGGCTACGTCTCGCCTGGTTGGGCTACGTCTCGCCTGGTTGGGCTACGTCTCGCCTGGTTGGGCTACGTCTCGCCTGGTTGGGCTACGTCTCGCCTGGCTGGGCTACGTCTCGCCTGGCTGGGCTACTTCTCGCCTGGCTGGGCTACTTCTCGCCTGGCTGGGCTACTTCTCGCCTGGCTGGGCTACTTCTCGCCTGGCTGGGCTACTTCTCGCCTGGCTGGGCTACTTCTCGCCTGGCTGGGCTACTTTCTTTCACGTCCTGCGCATGCGCAGTGGGAGTTTGTTTTGGTTCCGGGCTGTGTGCACACGTGTTCTGCATCCATTTCTCTCGGGGGGGGGGGGGGGGGGGCTTCGCCTCCCGCTCTTTTCTTATTCCAATCTGTGCCCGTTGCTTTGGGGGTGTTATGGGGTGCCGCTGTTGGGAAGTCACGAGGTTTTTCCTGCGTTCTAGGGTGGGGAGCCTCCTTCGCTGCTCCCCTCCTCTTCGGCATGGGCGCCCTGGCCGCCTCCGGCGGATACGGACTCGAACGCTTGCGTCATGGCCCTTCAGAGCCTATGTTCTGCAGGTGATTTGGTTTGGCGTCTCCTTCGTCCTTTTGACATAGCTCGGGTGCAGGGGGGGGGGTTGTGTAAAAGCCCGGTTTGTGCCTCGGAGAGGCTACGGGATCCAGTAAGTTCAGTAGAACTTAAGTTTCAACCCTTTTACCTGTCGTAGCTCAGTCGATTAAGGCAGTGTCTGGGATGCTCCCGGACGCAGGTTTGAATCCTCGTCACGGCCCTTGTGGATTTGTTCATTTTAGCCCATAGCAGCTGTTTAACCCTTCCACTGCTAAAGGGTCCTGAGGACATTTAGACCCCTGTGCACAAGAAAAAAAAAATTCTAAAAAATTATTTCATCTTTTAAAAATGTTAATTTGTGTTCCCTGAGCACGGGGAAAAAAATCGTAGGCAACATATTTTGGGCGCAATAGACTGAGGAAGTCTGGCAAAAAGTGGGCGTTGACAGAGCGGTTGTCAGAGCTGGTCAGCGTCACCCGAGTTGACAGGTGGGAGTTGCCAGAAAGATATTATCACCTAATTATTTCAATGTCTCTGATTGATTTTTTCTTAGTTTTTTTCCAGTAATATTATTCAATAGTGTGTATTGTAATATATTTATATAATAAAAGTGGTGAATAATCGCTATACTCAAAAGTATGGTGTGCATATTAGTGATTCAATTATTATGTTCATAAAACAATAAACAAATAGTTTTGCTGCTATTACACTCTATACACATGTTATATATAAGTATCTGCATGTTTTGTTCACCATAACGAACCACTAAGTTGGTATTGAGAGTCGAAAAGCAACAAGAAGTGACAGCCACACACCAGCCAGCCACTCGTTGCCACTCTCTCAACAACGCCTCACTTGCCCACTTTTTCCTCCCACCATCCTGTTTTATATTTTATTCACAATATACAGATGTTATATATAAGAATCTACATGTTTTGTTCACCACAACTGTACAACTAAGCTGATATAGTTAGTTCAGGCACTAAGAGTCGTCGGTACACTCAGTCAGCTGGCGTCTTCCTCACTCATTCAAGGTCACACACACTAAACTTTTTCCCCCAACAATACTGTTTGCAGTGTTATCACACTATATACACATGTATAAGTATCTACATGTTGTATGCACCATAACTGTACACCTAAACTTGTAGGGTGCACAAAGAGCATAGTGACCACCCTCTACACAGCCAGACAAATCATGTAGACGACGTCACTTCCGTCACCCAAATGGCTCCTCTCAGCATAATTCTTTTGCTGTTATTACACTAATACACACATTATATATAAGTATCTACATTTGTGTTCACCATAGAGAACCACTGAGCTGGTATGGTGAATGCAGACAATAACAGGTGGCCACACAGTCAGTAAATGATGCTATCTCCCTCTGTCCCTCAGCATCACTCCTCCCACACAGTGCTAATTATCACAACAATGCTGCTATTATCACAATCCTGGTCATTTTTATCACAGTCAGGTGTCATCTGTAATATTGTATTTTTTATCACAGTCAGGTGTCATCTGTAATATTGTCATCGCTAAATACTGTAATATCATTTATATATTTATTTTGACATTTTTCGGTGATGCTGCGGTCACAAGCTTAACAGCAATGCTGTTTGCTCATGCTGCGTGCGCCAGCCGTGATTGCTCCAACAGTACTGTGGCTCTCACACCGGAGAATATTGCCCATGATTTAAAAAAAAAATGGAGTCTGTTTACAAGAGCCCTGAGGAAGCTAATGTAAACCCTGTGTAACCGCGGGCCATTTGAATCGTGCCTGGCACCCTATGGCATATATATACTCCATGCACACCGTGGGACATGTTACTCATGGCGTATATATACACCATGCGCAGTTTAAGGGTTAACTCCCAGGTACCTATTTACTGCTAGGTGAACAGGTTTACATACACCACATATTTTCATCATCTTATTCTTCTTTATAAATAATATTGGTGTTGTAATGAATTTATTTTATTTTATGCATACTATAATTATAGGTCAAGAAGATGGTACAGTGGACTTTGAGGGCGAGACCCAGATAACACCATTCAACATGAAAGAGGAAATGGAAGATGGTCACTTTGATGGGGATGGGTTTTACCATTTTAAGAAAGATGCTGATGTAATTAAAGATGCTTGGCTTGATGACATTGATTGGGTTAAGGTATGCAATGTAATTACTGTTCTATCATTGATAACTTTAATGGCCTCTATACTGTGTAGTTTTATTTGGCCATAATTGTCATGTTAATACAAAGGCCTCTAAAGTATTAACATGTTTATGTTCAATATTAATACTGCTAGGTATTTTTAAAATAATCCTCAGTGTGGCAATGGGAATATTTTGTTTGAGAGCAGTGCTGGTGTTTCTTTATTTTAACCATTGTTTGTACCAGGGGTTCTCCTGACACAACAGGGAGTGTAGGGGGTTCCCCTGACACCACAGGCATTGAAGGGGGGGTTCCCCTGACACCACAGGCATTAAAAGGGGGTTTTCCTGACACTATATGCATTGAAGGGGGGTTCTCCTGACACCACAGGAAATGAAGGAGGTTCTTCTGACAACACAGGGAGTGTAGGGGGTTCTCCTGACACCACAGGGAGTGTAGGGGGTTCTGACACCACAGGGAGTTGGTGTCAGAAATTTTGTATATAACGTCTGTATATAAAAGCAAAAACAGTATGGTGGGAGGAGAATGGTGGCAAGTCAGGTGAGGTGAGGGAGGGAGGGAGAGGCAGCCAGTGGCGGGCTGCCATTGCCACTGCCACTCAGCATGCCAACTTAGTGGTTCGTTATGGTGAACACGAATGTAGATACTTATATATAACGCCTGTATATAGTGAATAAAAGCAAAAACAGTATGGTGGGAGGAGAATGTGGGCGAGTGAGGTGTTGAGGGAGTGAATGGCTGGCTGGTGTGTGGCGGTCACTCCTTGTTACTTTTTGACTCATAATAGCAACTTAGTGGTTCGTTATGGTGAACAAAACGTGCAGATACTTGTATATAACCTGTGTATATAGTGTAATAACCGACAAAGTATTTGTTCACTGTTTGATGGACATAATTGAATCAACAATATGCACACCATATTTTTTAGTACAGCGATGATTCACTCATTTCATTATATAAATATTTCACACTACACACTATTGAGTAATATAACAGCAAAAAAACTACGAAAAATCAGAGACATTGAAATAATTAGGTAATTATCTCTTTGTGGCAACTCCGGCCTGACAGCTGGCGAGCAATAGACCGCCTGGGACGCACGTTGAGTCAGCGCCTGTTTTGCCAGACTTCTTCTGCCCTATAGCGGGCAATATATGCCACTTACGATTTTTTTTATTATTTTTCCCATGATCAGTGAACACAATTTAACAGGTTTAGAAGGAAAAAATATATATTTTTTTTTTTTGGTATGCACCTGTGAGTGACATGCTAAATATCCAGGCACCAGACCAGACCAGACCTGATCAGACCAGACCTGATCAACCAGGCTGTGACTCATACGTCAGGCTGCGAGCAGCCGCGTCTAACAGCCTGGTTGATCAGTCCAGCAACCAGGAGGCCTGGTCGACGACCGGGCCGCGGGGACACTAAGCCCCGGAAGCACCTCAAGGTAGCCTCAAGGTAGGTAGCCTAGTTGACCAGTCCAGCCACCAGGAGGCCTGGTCGACGACCGGGCCGCGGGGACACTAAGCCCCGGAAGCACCTCAAGGTAGCCTCAAGGTAGGTAACCATACAAGGGTTAACCATTTGTAGTTTGTTTTAGAATTCCTACCTTTCTGGGTGCCAGACCTGGTAGATGGCAGACATAGAGTGCTTTCAATTACACGGGGGTGTCTATAGGGAGCCGGTGGCTGAACGGACAGAACACTGGATGCTTGATTCTGTGGTCCCGGGTTCGATCCCGGGCGCCGGCGAGAAACAATGAGCAGAATTTCTTTCACCCTGATGCCCCTGGTACCTAGCAGTAAATAGGTACCTGGGAGTTAGTCAGCTGTCATGGGCTGCTTCCTGGGGGTGGAGGGTTGGTCGAGGACCGGGCCATGGGGACACTAAGTCCCGAAATCATCTCAAGATAATCTCAAGATAGGCTATTGCTCCTCGTGCCTCTCTGAGGGGGAGCCAGATTCTGGCTCATGGTCCCCAGTAGGCCTAGAACTCATCGATTGACTGTTGCCATGGTCTAATACATATATACGCAACAGCCCAATATACCTCTGGGAAGCCTCTGGTTCCCGCCCAGAAAATGGCATTTCATTACATTCAACGGTGCTTTTATAACTCCATTTTATTGCTTAAAAAAATTACCTGTAATATTGAGTCTTCAGAGCGCTCGGAAAATTCCATCCCTATTAATGCATTATTATCACTTCAGGTGAAGCATCGTGAAGGAGATGAGAAGAAGTATGGATCTGACATAGATAGTGATGCAGACAATGATGATGAGATGGATCGAGAAGCTGCTGATGGCATTATTGCAATTTACACGGAAATTCTTGCCTTTTTAAAACCAGGAGAAACAGTAGCCAAGGCTTTAAAGGTTTGCTATTCTTTTTCTAGTTTGGGAGGGTGGGGACAAAAATAGCCCAGACTTCTACAGTGGCAGATAGTAAGGCCAGTTGGTCTGGCCACAGAAGGAAATATTGCTGGAAGGAAAATATAACATGGTATGGTATACATTTACCTCTGTGATGACTATTTACATGGCTACACTTCCACTGCATTGCCACGTGTTGGTCTGTGTGTGATCATTCTTCACTTGTGCAATTCTGCATTTCATATTTATTCCATTCTATTTCATTTGTTTGTTCACTCAATAAATGTTTACTGAGTGGATTCCTCATGCTTTTCTCCTTCTTCGCACGCATTCTTCATTCTTTGCATGCATTTCTCAGTCTTTTCACATGTTTCTCTTTTTCATGCCTTATGCATTCTCGTTCTTTTCACGCACACCTCATTCTTTTCACGCACACCTCATTCTTTTCACGGGTTCCCTCACTCTTTTCACATTTTCCTCATTCCTTTCTTTTCCATTTCCTCAGCCTCAATTGTTCCTACCCATTTATCTTTCCCTCCTATCCTCAAATTCCTATGAGCTCACTCTTCACTGCTCTCGTCATTCATTTGTGAAACGTGCCTTAACCATCACATTTAAACACGTGTTCTAGAGTAATTTAAAGCTTTGTTAATATGTTTGAGAGAAGACTGCTATGAGAGTGGACATAAAGTTATGGTGGGCAAAATTAGCAGGGATGGAGGCCTGCTACCTGCAGTTGAACACTTGAATGCATGAGATGATAGGGTGTGATTGAGAAATGAAAATTGTACAATGTACTTTAGTGCATTGAGAAATGTACAAAGGGAATTTGTACAAGCCAAGTTGAGAGTTGGGCGAGTCAGGTGAAGGATAGTTACTGATGCAATAAAAGGTTTGGTTACGAGGAACAAGATAGGAAGCTACGTGTCGAAAAAACTGCATGGATTTGGAGTACGTACAAATAAAGCAGTGTGAATGGACTGTCTGATACGCACGTGTGTTGTTTGGAGGCAAGACAGAATATTGAAAATATAGAAAGTGTTTTTGTACAAAAGCCAGTGAATCATAAGATTGAGGAGAGTGTATAATTTGGTTATGCTGAATAAATAGGTGGTGAAGAGCATGTCTTCAAGTGAATTATATGGTAAGGTGAAGAGGAGAAAGAAAGAGAGGCGTGGAAATGATGTAAGGAATAATAGTAAATATTTCACAAGAAGTGATATGGAACAAGAGTAGGTGGAAGCATCCTATATAAAGAAAGTTATAATGATATGTTTCTATAACAAATGACCATGAACACTTTACATGTAGTTTTATGATGTGGTGGAGTTCTGCCACTCCGTCCTCCTGATTAGATAGTACTTTTTGTAACTATGGGCGATTATACAAATATAGATGTGATGGACAAATAGAAAGTAGAATTGGGTACTGTTCATTTTATAGTCTTGAAAAAATAAAGTTAAAAACCTAACTTAAATATTCCTAAGGCCTAGTAAACATATATATGTACTATATTAGGCATCAGATAACATGTATTAGGCCTAGGATGGTTAGATTAGGTTAAGTTTCATTAGCAACATAAATAGAAAAAATTCCAATTTGTCCAAATAGAAAAACTTTTCCATTTTGTCTAAATTCAGTAATACAAAAGTCTACTTTCTGTTGGCCCATCATGACATTATTTGTACGTTCAACCATATTGTTACTATAAGTACTGTACTTTCATTTCAGGAGGATGGGCCGAGTTCTGCTCTTTAACCACTGTGCTGCGCCAACCGAGAAAACTCTTTTTGATATTTTCGTACCTATTCAAAATGTGTGCGCGGTAGGTTGTGTACGAAATGGACTTTTAGGACCTCCAGTGACAGGCAGCAAAAAGATTTCCAGGCAGGAAAAAATTCCCAGAATGTCCTAGGGCTGCTGGCTGGGTTAGTACTTAGTAAGCAACCATGGGTGGTGCACGCGCCTCTGGCTTCCAAACACTTGACCGACGCGGTGTTGAAAGATCGGTCTCTGTCGGTGAAATTCAGACCTTATTATTTGATGAACATAAGGGTCACGATATTGGTGAAGCTAGGCACAAAAGGACCTAACACAAAGGTCGGATGCAAGTGATACAGCATCTATGAGTAGAATGTTCATAATGTTCCATGGAACTGTGATACAAATATCAGTAATGTGTCCACAATAAATGTTTATTGTCGCAATATTACTTGTTAAAAATTCACCAAGTTACAATATGTACAGATTCACACACTATTTACACAGTAACACACTGTATTACACACTCAGTACTTTGGAAGTGAGTAATAATCAACGAAGTAGGCCATGGTGCACAGCGTGACTTCGTTCTCGTTGCACCAGGTACAGATAGATTTTCGCTTGCTGTTTCTTCGTTCTGTGTGCTTGCAAATAATGCACTCACGTACACCCTTGGCTTTAGTACTTGTAGGTGGTATGTAGCAAAGCTTGTAAAGTGTAAGGTAGTCTTGAAAAGATTGCTTTGTAAGGTCCCTCACTGGAAGAGATTCAGTCATTCTGGAAGCGATTCAGTTAACCAGGAAAAGGTTCAGCTAGTCTTGAAAATATCTGTGGAAAACACCATCATGGAAGCCGCTAACACTGTTCATCTATGCTACTTGTTACAACTGATATGAGTGGGGCTTCTATGGGGTACTGGTACTATTAACCCTTAACATGCTCGGGGTCTAATATCCTGCCATCCACACAGGCGCATGTCATTTTGAAAAAAAAAAAAAATTTTTTTTTTTTGCTAATCTGTTAAGTTCTGTTCACTGATCACGGGAAAAATAAAAAAAAATTCTATTGTACTTACTTTTGTTGCAATAGAGCCGAGAAGCTCTGTGATGACGTCACAATCTGCATGTTCGCTCATGCAGTACACGCCCGGGAGGTGTTGCGCGCGGTCCTCAAACAGCCAGAGTTGCCACAAATATATTTTCGCGCTATTTATTTACAATGTCTAAGCGCATTTTATCTAATTTTTTTTCACTAATTGTGTTTCAAATACTGTTTGAACATATTTTGTATCAATAATTGTTGCATATTTGAGTATACACAGGCGCACACAAATGTTTTCAACTACGGCAATATAATATGTCATTACAGTCTATTATATTGTATGTTCTGCTTATATTTGTATATATTTACACACACGCACACGCTATCTGCTTATATGTTTACATATTTACACACTCGCACACGCTATACACACTTTGAAGCACACTTAGAAGATTTCTAGACTGTGGTAGTCATTGAAGCAGTCGACAGCACATAATGGGATACCACACGTTTCACACCATGTTTGCACAAGCTTCCGTTTCTTGTCTCTACGTGTCGTTGTTTTACACACCAAGCAATCACGTTGGGCTATTGCACGCTTCACACCAGGTGGCAAATACTTAAGTTTGTGTGCTAGGAAGCCTTCAGTGTGAGCGAGGCGTGGAGTACCAGCATGCTGCAACAGTGGGTTTATGATGGGCCGCTGAATACCTGGGACATCTTTTGCAAACTTTCCTAATAACTGTATTGCAGCATCAAATACAAAGTCACGGAAAGTGGGCTTACGTCCAGTTCTCACAAGGTACATGTTGAAACAGTTCAGCATGCTCATGTCCACAAGATGGAAGAACACTTTTTTCGTCCACCTACATGTCTTCCGCACACACTCTGCAGTGCCAATCATCATGTCTGATTTATCAATCAACCGCATGTTGATATTATAGTCTAAAACACAGTCTGGCTTATATAGTGGTGCGTTTGTTTTATGGCTCACTTTCCCACTGTTCACCATTGTTCCATCATGAATTGTTGTCAACAAGTTCACCTCTCTTTTGTCTTTCCACCGAACTGACAGAATGTTATCACTTTTCCTTCTCTGACACTCACCAACTGCAATGTCGTTGTCAAACACAGGCATTTCCCTTCGTTGTGGCTTTACTGTACCAACCAATCCGGTTCTATTTTCTAGCAAGAACCGAGCTAGCAAGGGACTTGTATAGTAATTATCTGTGTATAAAATGTGTCCCTTGTTCATCCACGGAGCCATGATGGTCTTCACTACACTCCCCGAGAATCCATGTTCGTCGTTACCGGGAATGTCTACATCACTAGCCGAGTACAGAATCATGTGTAACACGTATCCTGTCTCACAATCACAAAGAACAAAAAATTTCAGGCCAAATCGGTTTCGTTTTGAGGGAATGTACTGTTTGAATGGAACACGTCCCTTGAAAAGTATGAGAGATTCATCAACCACCAGCTTCTGTGCTGGTACGTAAAAATCTCTGAATTTTCCAATAACATCGTTCATGTAGTGCCTCACTCGCCACAGTCTATCATCAGGTGTTCGGTCCTGAACACTTCCAAAATGTAGACACCTGAGGAGTATCTGAAACCTGTCTCGTGACATATATTTCCCGAATAAAGGTGTTGGTATTGTCTTGTCCTTGCTCCAATAGTCATTTATTGCATGTTTGTGACAGTGCTTCATCAACAAACAGAGTGCCAAAAACACATACATTTCCGCCACTGTGGTATTTTTCCAACGCTGCAGTCGTGAAAATTCTGTGATTTCCCTCTCAATCAGGTAAGCAGCATGCAGGTTCGTTTGGTGTACAATGTATTCCATGAGTGGTTCATCATAGAATGCTGTAAAATATTCCATCTCAGCCATGTCCTCACCTTGATTAGGGAAAAGGTTTGTAATCCCTACATATTAATCGTCAAAGTGAGGAATATTAGGAATAAAATCGTCACCATCACTCCACTCAAGTATACCAGGCGTCCTGCGAGATGCAGTGGAAAGACGGCGAGGAAGCGATGCATACCGGCGACCAGGAGCTGAATACCGTCTGCGAGAAGCACGGCGGCTACGTGCACGTGAGGTGGGTGCACGTGAACACGAGGGTCTTGGTCCCTCATGTGGTGCCATGTGGTGGCGCTTGGCCGGGCGAGATGCTGCTGACGCGACAATTTCTCGC